GAACTTCTGCTCAGTAATTCTGGTCTTACTTAGTTGTTTTTACATAAAGCTATGTTTAATCAGTCTCCACAGTCTTTATAGCAGCACTGGATCTGGCATCCTGCTTAAAAAAGCATTTCCAATGAGGGAATCCTTTCCTCTTTCCTTGGCCCCAGAACATCTATAAACAGTCTCTATTTTATGTGTATGTTGAGTGGGTAGAGCTAAGGACATTTTAAGCTCCCAAGAGAATTTTATGGTCTACTCAGTCAAGATTAAGTTATTTTATTTCTCCCTCTTGCAATTTTGGAGGAGCAAGTGCACTTTGACAATGAAAAAGTTAACAAAGGAGCCTTACATCATTAGGGAGAAGTGTTTTTTTTTCTGATTTGTGCTGTTCCAAACAAGCAGAGCTCTTCTGGAAATGTTCCTGCCCCATCCCACCACCTCTCCTTTGCTTGTGAAGTGAAAGCCACTCGATCCCACGCCCGCAATTCCGCCTGCTCTGCGGAGCAACAGCTCGGCATTGCATGACTGTATGGCAGCGGGTGGCTTTGATTTTTTTAGCTCCTCGTATGAAACTGCAGAAGGTGTCAGCAAGGCATGTGGTCTCTAGCAGCTTTGTCTCATTTACAGAGCACTGCCTTGTACGGATGGAACAGCGGGAATGTGGGAAGCATAAAGGAAGTAATTAACCGAGTAAATCTTTGAAAACAGCATATGTCAGAGAAGTTTGCGTAGGGTAGCAGGTGCTTTTCTTTCGAGGAAACACTGTTTCAAACAAGAAAAGTCCTTGGGTCCCACTGTTGGAAACTGCAGGAGGTGTGTGGGTTTGATGACAATCCAAGAAGATGGATGGTGAGGCAGGGTTCAATGTCTAAGGCTGAGATGGTCTTCAAGGCAGGAAGTCAGCGGATGGACATAGTCTGAGTTCCAGCCATGACCATTAACAAGCCAAAGGAGAAGGGATGACGTATATTTTGGGAGTCATGGAGAAGGCAAAGCAATCCTGGTTGGTAAAATGCCTCACAGTCTTGCAGCAGAAGTAGGAGTAGCAGAAGGAGGAGTAGCAGGAGTATTGCAGCTTCTCTCCAGTGTAGAAAAGAGTGTCAAAGCCCCAACATGCCCTGTGTACAAGGAGATTCTGTGTTAAATARCTGGAGAACAATAATGGAAATTAGTGATCATTACTACTGATGATGATTTTTATCCCGCACTTCTTCTGAAATCCATATTGGCAGTTACATGCTTATAGCAATCTGTGTAACTTTTCCAGTTGAATTCCTTCAGTTCAGCAATGTCGGTTGTCTCAGTGTTGTAACCAATGACTCTGATGTGTTTTCCGCAGCGTTTGCATCTTAGTGAAGATGTTGCTGGGGCAACTTTCATGGCAGCTGGAAGCTCTGCTCCTGAGCTGTTTACGTCCGTCATAGGTAACTAATTCACCTGATGCTGTTTCTTGAAATCCCCTCTTTCCCTTCAGTGTGTTTCAGAGCTCAGATAGGATAGCTAATCCAGCAGAACCAGGGCCAGCACCACAGTTGGGTCACCATAACCACCTTTTCATCTTAGCTTGTTGTAGCATAGCTGAGATGCACAGCTGAGCTCTGCAGGTGCAGCCTTCTCTTCCCCTCCAGGCACCCCTCACATGCCACCTGGCATGGATCTTTAGGGCTTAGTGTTAAAGAGTGCACCTCCAGGACTGATACCCTGGAACCAAACTCTTTGTGTCTTCAAATACACATCCTCCACCATCACTTTCATTCTGATTAGCCTTTGAACACCCTTGTCCTCCARGAGAACTGGAGTAGGGGATTCGAGATCCTCAAGTAACAATTTGGTCAGAGCATCACTCTACCAGAGTATCACTCTGCTTATGGGAAGCATGGTCAACAGTTTCATCARTAGTCCTGGAAACTCAGAGACACTTGTATGCTCCTTCCACAGCCTCAAGCTAAGAGATTGCTGTGTGGATGGGGAGGAAAGATCACCTAGATGTGCCAAGAGCAACCCAACTCTAGGGGCAAAGGTTTGGAGAGAGGGGTGCTGAGCACAAGGCCCTGCAGTTAAAGGCAGTTTTTGTAAAGAAAGACTGTGAAACAGATCTTTGTCCCATCTTGAATTCATAAAGCCTAGAAACAGCAGAAACTGCTAGTACTTGTGCTTTTTAATCACAGTGGATGGTGCAGTTTTGGACCCTGCTTTATTTTAKTTGGGGAAATGGACTTCAGTCAGAGAGCTATTACAAAATGATTCTGTATATTGCCTGGCATAAGGGGAAAGTCTTGCTATTGAAGTCATCCATGTCCCTAGGAGGTGGGTTATCATCAGAAAAACAGAAGGGTTAAGGTGAGTTTCTCCTCTGTCTCCATGAAGATGACTATTGGGAGCTTAGAGACTTCTTCACAAAGGGGCTTGTAACATAAGCCATTAACCTCTGTGAGAGGTCTTATGTATTTTTTTTTAGCAAAAATATGTTATTTCCAGTTTATACAGCTTGCCTTGAACTTGTTTTTCAGGTGTTTTTATCACAAAAGGCGACGTGGGTGTTGGAACCATCGTAGGCTCTGCTGTATTTAATATTCTCTGTATTATTGGTGTGTGTGGGCTTTTTGCTGGACAGGTAAGAACATTTAAGGCTTCCTAATAGTTCTTGCTTCTCTACATACCTTAGTTGTACTGTGAAATAAGTTGCCCAGTTTGCGGCCTTGCCACAAGGATCTCTGGCTTGTTTTCTTTTTAAAAGGGCCTTACACTGTTCCTCTTGCATTTTTTGAAATGAAAAACAAAACAGCAAAGATCTACTGCTTTTTAAGCAGCCCGAGAGATAGGAGTAGTCAAAAGAATGCAGTTGTTTTTTGACCACGTCCTCTCTATAGCTACTGAAAAAAATGGATTGTGACATATGCATCATGTTGTTTAAGACCAAAGGAGTCTCTGGTTGGTGCAGATGGAAACTGGTGAGGCATGGCAGACATTTCTGAGAGCATAAGGGCTCTTCTGGAGCATCATGAAAGATACCCCCTTTTCGCAAGACAGGTTCGGATGCACATGGTGAGCTCACACAGTGTTGTTGGTGACTGRCATGACGTAGAAAATTATACAGGTTGGGCCTTCGTTTGTGCTTTATCTCATTGATATCCACCAAATCATCACATGGTTTATGTGGAAAAGGATCTCTGAAGATCTCTGATTCAAACCTCCAACCCAACTCCTGCTCCAGCACAGCCAGCTTCAAAGTTAGATCGGTTTGTTTGTGGCCATGCAGAGTCAAGTTTTGAGTATCTCCAAGAAGGCCCCAACTTTTTACCTCACTTGCAATAAAGCTATCAATTCCRCATATAAATTCTAACTGCATTCTAGCCTGTCAGACGACATATGACAACACAAATTATTCATCCGATATTAGATTGTGACATCTCAGTTGCTCTCTGATTTGCTATGATGACTGACTCGCTATAATTAAATATCTTAATCAGAATTCACCTTAGCATTTGCCGGTGTGCCCCGTATTTTTCTGTTCTCATAAAATATTTGAAATCTTCTTACTCTGCAGACTTGTTGGCAATGAGGTAAAGCAGGATTATAGAAGCAATACACGGCACTAGAATAACCATTTCTGACAGAGGAATCTTAAGAGAAGGGACAGTTTTAACTTAGTCAGTATGAGAAAGCAAGCAGAGAGCTCACACCTTTCTGGGAAGGTTTACAATCCAATTTTTATTTGCATTCACCACAGACATTTTTCAAGATGAAGAGGAACATTTTTCACAGTAGGGGAGGGTTGGGAAAAATCTACATCCTACTTTTTAGGCACATGAACTCTCATGATTTGCACGGGAAACCGAAGGAAATTCAGGTGCCAAGATGTGGCTCCAGAGCTGGCTCACAACGATGGAGCAGTGCAGCAGGTGTGAGGCATTTATGGGCTCTCCAGGACAACATACAGCTGAGGGCGACACACATTCAACGCGTTAGTGGTTCTGTCACAACACTTACTGTGAAACCCTGTTTAATTCAAGCCAATTAGTTGCTACCAAATCTTTCTCAGGGCATGTTCCCTGGAGGATTTCTCATGTAATCAGTAGGAGTTTTTGCTCAGGTTGTGTTTTCAATGGAAATGGAAAAGATTAGCTGTTTAGCATGATGACAGAGGGGCTAAGTCTTCCTGCACAATTCTCAGCATTATTGGTCTCAAGCCCCAAACCTGCTAAAATAATTTCCCATGCRGATGGGAAAGCCCCATTTCAATAATACTGATATTAACCCTGTGCTTTTCAGTTATTCCAGCTTTTTCCTCCAAAGCCCTTCATTTTTCCTACTGTCATCCAATGCATCTTCTGTGCCATTGGTGGAAACATTAATCAGTGCGTAGTCGGTCCATGGGAATGAGCTAGCTCCATGTCCCAGCCAGGCCAATTAAAATATTTATGTATGTCTTTGTATGTTCTCCCATGTATATATGTGTCTAAACTCATAATTTATGTAAAACCATGTATATGTAAGGACCATACAGACACTTGCAAGTATACGTGTTTCTATAGATGTRTATTAAAATGGGTTTGACTTGGGAGTTTTGGAGCAGAGGGAAGTAAAGACAGAGCCCAATATAGGACTCTTAGAAATTTAGGGCCCTTATGAAAGTGCAGAAGAGACCTGCTGAAGCAGAACTCCTCATGTATAAAAGACACAGGGTAGTTCATCAGCTACARAGCAAGATGCTCATCACATCTCCAGGTGCTTCTGCAGCCCATGCTCTAGCATCTCGTAACTAAACCTGCATAATTACAGCACTGATGAGGAGCAATTTCCAAATGATCACACCAGTGACTTCTGTGTGGGGTGACTTCTGTCTCTGCAGAGAGTGTGCACTTATTCTCAGCAGGGCTTTGCTTTCACATCCGCCTGTCCTTGTTGCAATATTCCAGTAGGATCTTTTAGAAACCAGTGATGATGGTGACGACAGCATGGGGCTAGAATGGAAGTCATTGATTGGGATGCCGCTGCCTAATCAATACCTGCCTGTGCCAGGTGCTTTTGAGATGCTTTGATATTTGCTGTTGAGATGCTGCCAGAAAGAAAAGGAAGAAAACTCAGTAGCATTCTAAAAATGTCTGAAATACCTTCCATTTTTTGTTGTTGTTTTTGTAATTTTTTTGAAACACATTTGGTTTTGGTGCACCTTTTCTCTCTGTTTTTATTTTGCCATCAAAATAGGGAGGACAAATGGCAAAGAGCAGTGGTCATTTCTGCTTTTGTTTTCTAAAAAGCCCTYTGATTTTGCAGAACTGCTTCCTATTGTCAGAAAACCTTTTTTTTTTCCCCACTAGTGACAAACTGAATTCAAAAACATTGATCAGCTCTCCCCAGGGTATATATTACTTTTAAATTAGGTTGCAGATGTATGTGCTATGTTGGATGTGATGTTCTTTGGCTCTAGAAAATAATGTTTCTGGTTACACACAGATTGCCTAAAAGGAGAAGCAACCCCCTGCCCTCCAGATTTTAGGTATTTTTTTTCCAACACCCACACTGATGGATTATTTTTTGCAAGCRTTTAATGGTTGCACTTCCATGACTGCATCGGTGCAAGCAGTCACGCTGCTGGGACAGAGAGGGAAGCACGATGCCCACGCCTCTATATGAGGCACTTAAGAAACACCCTTAAAAGAACATTATTAAGGTTGAAAGTCAATTATGAGACCTTTGAATGTGGCAACATTGAGGTTCCCTGTGCAACCTTAATTTGCCCCTCCTCCAAGATGTTTGCATTATTATATAGCCTTTAATTACACGATGGCATGCTGGTTGCTCTGTGGGGTCCCTGCCTCCTCCAGGGCACACAGAGGACTTTGCTCACTTAATGAGCAGCGATGCATTAATTTATTTTCTCCTCATTTTTCAGGTCTGCCTTACTTGCCATGCTCGATTCAAGCCCTGCTCCAAAAGCAGAATTAGTAGTTTCCTCTGCCCTGCACATYGCTCTTGTGTCCAAGCAGCTGATGAGCAAGTAGTTTTCCCCAAATCCCCGCAAGACAACAGGATGGTTTAAAGATGGGGCAAAAAAAGCACAGTGAGATTGAAGAGAAAAGAACTTGTTGTCCTAGGTGCCAATGGGAGCAATCACTGCTTTTTGGGTTCCCCCCCCCCCCCCCCTGAATGTATAGAAAACAGCGATGGCATTTACCATGCTCAGAGTCCAGTTCTGCAAGGTYCCAAATGCTGTTCCCACAGTTCTGTAAATCTTGGAGTGCTGCAGGGTGGATGTGTCTGTAGGTGGATGTGTCGTTGTGGACAACTGCAGCTCAGTTGTCCACAATGGTGATGATTCCCCTCCTTCAGTTACCCAGCTGTCCAGGTCCCACATGCTAAGTACTGGTTATTTAGCTGCTGTATCTACTTCCTTTCAACCAGCAAGTGAGGGAGCTATGACAAAGGGAATGTTGTAAGGGATGAAAACATGGCATCAGATTCAGCCCTCCAGGCACAAGTGAGGCAGTAGTTCATGGCAATCCATGCTAGATATAGAAGCAGACATAGACACTGCTATCTGTGCAGTGACAGCTTGTACTAGGCTGCTTCCAAGATTGCCATCCAACTGTTTGGGCCTGGAGAGCATTTTGACCTTAACCCCTGTCCCATCCAAGCCTCATCCTCACTGTCCTCTCTTCTCTCATTCTTATACTTGTGCCTTGTGCAGTCTCACACCTCGTTCCCCTGCCCTGCCATCACCCTTACCTGGAAGGATTCTCAGAAGCAGCCAGCTTCAGTTGGCTGCCTTCAGCTCCTTCCAGCCAGCACAGGTAGAGTTTGCTCAGTTTTCAAATGTCCTCCATCCAGATCCCGTCCTCTTTCCTGCAGAGGAGAATGAAGAGCTGGCAGAGGTTACTGAGAAGTACTGAAGAGCAGTGTAACCCCTGTGARTTGCAAGTCACAGCCCTCATAGCATTTAACACAGCAATTCTTAATCTGCATGATTTGGATTGGCTGATTACCATTTAACTAATTGCTGTGTTTTGCACTGGAATCTCCTTGTCCTTGTTGCACCTCCCTGGGGTTGGGATTGGCTGCTCTGGACAGAGCAAGGGGCCATCCAGGCTGTGCTGGAGACTCCACGATGTTGAGGTGGGAAACCAGGCACTGCTTCCCATGGGGCTGTTCTACATGACACCTCTACAGGGCCCCATTTTTTGTGGTGGAGAAGTGGTGCACCTCACAGAAGGACTATTTCTTGAGGCATGATTGCATCCCTGGAGAAGGGATCCCTTGATTCCTGGAGAAATTATCCCATCCAGAGGGTCTCAGTCTGCTGTTACGGATCACTCATGTTCCTCATCCTCTAAGGATATGCTTGCATATGCCTTCTGCACAGTTCTGAGCTTCTAAAACTCTTCTGAGGAAGTAAAATAAACTCAGAAGGCTCTTCTTGTCTCCACTGTTGTATAAGCAATGGACACCTCTCCAAACCCTGTATGTGAAAATGTACCTAAGAAACAGGTATTACCAATAGAGAAGAGCTGAGAAGCAGAAACTGTGAACAGAGATTTAATAACCAGGTAAAATATAACATTTAGTGAAGAGACTGGGATTTTGCTAATCTGCTTTTAATCTAATTCTGCCTTAAAGTTAGTTTGCATGCATCTTAATCTTTTAAGCTTTAATTTCAGAGACTACAAGTAATTCAGATTGGTTTAGTTACTGACCTTTGGCTTTATGATTGCATCCCAAAGCTTTTTTGCTTCTCCTGGGTTGTGGAGGAGTTTTGGGAGGGGAAAGAGGTTGGAAAGGCTTTTTTTTCTTTTTTTTATGGTTTGTGATCAACTGAGGAGAACATTTAAAACACAGTGTAGTGGTTTAGGGAGAACTTAATGCTGTTGACTGCTTCTGCAGTTCAGGGCACAAGAGTATTTTGGGTGGTCAATGGGGAGTAGGTCTAATTGGCAGATCAGGTGCCACCTCGCAGGTAATGAGCTGGGACCAGTCTAGCCGTCAAAGATGCTTCTGTGACTTTTTAAAATTAGCATTTCAAGACCTTTTTCACAGTGTTAGATTGAACGGTAGGACAGAAATCGGAAAGGCAGTTAGAAGATGAAATAATGAGAATAAATGGAGTCAGTTGGCAAGGTAAGAAGTGCAGGTTGAGTTCCACAGAGACTGGCTCTCCTGTGGGGGCATCGCTTCCCATATAGTTGGAAGCTGTTCTTTCACTGAGTCCATTAGACCAAAGCTGCTTGGCAATTACTGGCTAAAAAGGAGATGTATCTTAAGACTTGGAATTTTGTTTTCTGACCCTTGCTATTTTTTGGGGTTTTTTTGCTTAAATCCACTGTACAGGGAGGGATGCTTAGTAGTGGTCAAAGCCTTGAGGTGGCCCTAATGCATCATCCTAAGATGCTGGCGTCTCTGCCAGGAGGTACTTGGTGCTGCAGATGGTCGCATTTACCTTTCAAGGAAGGTTGGGACAGTCCTGAACCCTTCATGTCAGCAGCAGGGAGGCATCACTGAGATGATAAAAAGGAGACATAGGTATAAATAAAGGTTAAAAAAAAAACTGTGATTTCTCAGGTTTCTGCAGTTCTTTGACCCCAGCTCCTTGCAAAACATCCAGAGGAACTTGGATCRTGCTTTCATTTATGATTTTGGTTCCCTCCAGGGACCTTAAAGTGGGAATAAGTGCAATTGATTCACCTTTTCAGGTTGCTTTGAGCCTGGCAGATGAATGCTTCAAGCAGAAGCCTGCAGGAGAAATGAACCCCCTCATCTCTGCTGTGTTTTTTTGTCAGCTAACAATTATCAGCTTCTGCTGAGCTGACTGTTCCTTGTAGGTGGGATACAATATTGCCCAAATCAAGGAAAGAGTTGGGAGAAATAACTCCCAGGTTTGGATGCTTAGGCAGCATCTCTCTTCTGCATCTAAGGCAGCAGAAATTACCTTAAGGTATTATCTGTCTTCTAACTTCATTGCAGTTGGTATAGGGCTGATACTTTGACATCACTTCATCCAGACTCTCTTGCTTTTTGCAGGTATGTGTGACATCTGCTAGGAAAATATMCAGGGAAGGCCATTAATAAAGTCATGGGGAAGGTTGTATCTGTGGCTAGAAGTCACATGGCAGACTTCAAACATGGATGAAAACTATAGCCTCGAAGGGGCAGTTGAGTCAGTGGAAGAAAATTCATAATGGTGATAGCCAGGAGCCCACAATACTTGAAGACTGAGGTCTCTTAGAAGTCTTTTCCATGCGTCCTCTGTGATGCTGTGTCTGAGTTAGGGAGGGTCTCAAAGTGCTAGCAGCAATGGGCTGCTAGCTAAATGGTGCCAATATGAGATTTTTAGTCTTTATCTTTTAGCTCAGGCGTTACTCCATGTTATTGCTATGTGACTGATGCTGGTGAAAACATATGGTTGTTATTGGACAGTAAGGGTCTTATCCCCTTAAGAAAAAGGGACAGAGGTTAAATGGCTCACCTAAGCTCAAGCCATAAATCCGAACCCACGTGGTTGGGACGGAACAAGGAATTGCCTCTGCATTGCTTCAGTCCTAGGTGAAGGACTCTCAGGAAAAGTGTGGACACTCTGCAGCTGCTTCTTGAAAGAAGAATACAGATAAGGCAGTGTCACTCTCTCACATTAATGTGATGCTTCCTGAAAATCACAGCCAGTGACATTGAACAGGCAGGTGGCAGAATCCTTCCATCCAAGGAGTTCTGAAAATAATAAATGGTAAAGCTGAAAGCAGAGCCTGTGCCATGTCAGACGGAATGCAGAAGTCCTGAAGGATCAGTCACTTTTAGTGCTGTTTCTGAGTGTCAGAACTTCATTAGATTCACCAAAGACAGTCAGTGATATTCAGCTCCATGGAAGTCAGGACTTGCCAATGTCATAGAATCATAGAATCATAGAATCATAGAATGCTTAAGGTTGGAAGGGACCTCAGAGGTCATCTAGTCCAATCCCCCTGCTCATGCAGGGTCACCTAGAGCACATGGCACAGGGCTGCGTCCAAGTGGGTTTTAAAGATCTCCAAAGAAGGAGACTCCACAAYCTCCCTGGGCAGCCTGTTCCAGGGCTCTGTCACCCTCACTGTCAAGTAATGTTTCCTCAAGTTCCTGTGGACTTTTGGTGCCTCAGCTTGTGGCTGTTTCCTCTAGGCCTGTTGCTGTCCACCACTGAAAAGAGGCCAGCCCCCTCGTCCTCACTGCCTCCCTTGAGGTATTTATACCCACTGATCAGATCCCCCCTCAGCCTTCTCTTCTCCAGGCTGAACGGGCCCAGCTCCCTCAGCCTTTGCTCATAGGGCAGATGTTCCAGGCCAACTGCTCTGCCCTCATCTATCCAGCTAGTCACTCCTTCATAGAAGGTGATCAGGTTAGTCAAGCATGATTTCCCCATGGTGAATTCATGCTGGCTACTCCTGAGCACCTTCTTCTCCTCCACATGTCTGGAGACAGCAGCCAGGATGAGCTGTTCCATCACTTTTCCGGGAATGGAGGTGRGGCTCACTGGCCTGTAGTTGCCTGGGTCCTCCTTCTTGCCCTTTTTGAAGWCCGGAGTGACGCTGGCTTTCTTCCAGTCCTCTGGCCCCTCCCCCATTCTCCAGGACCTTCCAAAGGCTYGGCTAGGACATCCGCCAGTTCCCGCAACACCCTGGGTGCATCCCACCAGGGCCCATGGATTTGTGGGTGTCGAGTTTCCTTAGGTGCTCCCTGACCCACTCTTCCTCTACCCAGGGCAAGCCTTCCTCTCTCCAGCTCACTTCTTGTGCCCCTAGGGCCTGGGATTCTAGAAGACTGCCCCTGACAAACACAGAAGCAAAGGCAGCATTCAGCAGCTCTGCTTTGTCCGTGTTTTTCGTGACCAGGGTACCCACCCCGTTCACTAGTGGACCCACATTCTCCCCCACCTTCCTCTTGTTGTTAATATATTTGAAAAAAAATTTCTTGTTGCTCTTAACATCCCTTAACATCTTAACATCCCTTGCCAGATTTAGTTCCAAGTGTGCCTTGGCTTTCCTTGTAGCATCCCTGCATTCCCTGACAACGCTCCTGTATTTCTCCCAGGGGGATGTACTCTCAAGATAAGCAGAAATGGGATGGATTTTTTTCCAACAGATTGATAGATGAAGTCGAAGTTAGTCATGGGACAAGAGAGGATCCTCAAGGACATCCAGAGCAGTCTGTTGTGTCACCATCTGGCCCACAGCCCACTCACAAGCTGTCCCTAAAAGTGTGAACTGGTCCARAGTTCTGGTGGGCAGCAGCATCTAGCTAGTGCTGGTCTTTCTAAGGATGTGATGGCTTCAAGGAACAGCCTGAGAGGTTTGTTCATATGCTAGCAAAACCCTATTATTTTTACGTGCCACCACTTGTAGGAACCGTAAGATTCCCTTTTTTTCTGTCCCATTTGGTTGCATAT